AGCTACCATGAGACGCACACGCACACGCACGCACTCATACGCCGACGCACCAGACACTGATAGACATGCAGGCAGGCAAGAGGGAGACAGGCAAACTAGACTGACATAAAGGAAATGCGAATACGGAAAGGGGGGGGGGGGGAAAGGAGAGCGAACAACAAAAACGTAAGAATAGGAAAAAGGACATGGAAAATAACAACAAAGGGAGAGACCCTGATGATTTCCCACGCGCCCCCCGCTGCCGCACAGAGCCGGCGAAATCACCGAACTAGCGACTAGGGCGGAGCGGTCGGAAAACCTGGCCCGCGGGGCCCTGGCGGCCGCGTAGCACAAACGACCATGGGACGCTGGCGAACACACACACACACACACACACACACACACACACACACACACGCACAGACACGCTGTCGCACCCGACACGGACAGGCAGGCAGGCAACAGGGAGACAGGCAGACTCGATTGACAGACAAGCAGAGCGAAAACGGAGAGAGGGTGATCAAGTAACCACTGCAAGCTCCAGCCCCCGCGACGAGGTCCCCGCGACGGCCCCGAAGACGGCCACCGCCCGACAAGGAGCGCCCTGCCACGCAGCCCCAAGAGTTCCAGAAGGGAGCCCTTAGGTCCGCAGTTAGGGCGGCCAAAGTGCGAGGCGGGGATTGATCCACGTCCACCGCCTGGGAACCGACGTCCTGGTGCCCCAGCGGGCGGTGGATCTGGATATATTTCGGCCGCCCGAATATGTCCGTATCCACCGCCTGCCGAGGCTCCGAAAGCTGACCCCCCAGGCGGTGGCCATGTACAAATTCCCGCCTCGGAGCAGAGCCTGCGGGAGGAGGACCGAGGACCGAGGAGGACCGAGGAGGAAGATCGAGGAGCGAGGAGGAGCGAGGAGGAGACGCTCAGAGGACCGAGGAGGGCCGAGGAGGGCCGAGGAGGAGGACCCAAGGCTCGCGGAGGAGGATCCTTCGAGGACCGACGTTCCCCCCACAACGGGGGCTTCCGCGGGACCCGGCAGGCGGTGGTCATGCATAGGGAAGGAGGAGGGAGGAAGAGGAGGAGGAGGGAGGAGGAGGAGGAGGAGGAGGAGGGAGGAGGAGGAGGAGGAGGGGAGGAGGAAGGAGGTGGAGGAGAGGAGGATGAGGGGGAGGAGCGGGGGAGGAGGAGGAGGAGGGGAGGGAGGGAGGGAGGGAGGGGAGGCGGATGAGGAGCAGGAGGAGGAGATGAGCAGGGAGGAGGAGGGAGAGGAGGAGGAGGGAAGGAAGGAGGAAGGAGGAGGAGTGAGGAGGAGGAGGAGAGGGAGGGAGGGGGGAGGGGGGAGGAGGTACGAGGAGGGAGGGAGGAGGAGGAGCAGGAGGAGGAGGGAGGAGGAGCAGGAGGAGGCCGCGGAAGACCGACCCTGCAGGCGGTGGTCCTGCAGGCGGAGGGCCCCAGCGGATCTCCGGGGGCGGCGCAGGCGGCGCCGCGCGGGGGCGGCGGGCGGCGCAGCGCGGGAGTCGGGCACACGGGGGCCCTTCGACAAAGCACGCGCGAGAGAGGGGGGGGAGACCACCAGAGAGAGAGAGAGGGGGAGAGGGAGAGAGACCAAGCTAGGTGCGCTCGCGTCATATCTGACGTCCTACCCGCACCCCCAATCCGTTACCATGGCGGCTGTTTTCTCTATCCCGCGGGACGCGTGTCGTAGCGGACCTGTGTCCGCGCGCGCGTGGATGTTGTGGTGCCGTGCGTGCGTGCGTGCGTGTGTGCGTGGTTGTCCGTGGTGGTGGTGGTGGTGGTGGTGTGGTGTGGTGGTGTGGTGGTGTTGTTGTTGTTGTTGTTGGTGTGGTGGTGGTGGTGGTGGTGGTGGTGGTGGTGGTGGTGGTGGTGGTGGTGGTGGTGGTGGTGGTGGTGGTGGTGGTGGTGGTGGTGGTGGTGGTGGTGGTGGTGGTGGTGGTGGTGGTGGTGGTGGTGGTGGTGGTGGTGGTGGGGGTGGTGGTGGTGGTGGTGGTGGTGGCGGTGCGGCGCGGTGGTGGCGGGCGGATGGGCGCGCGAGAAAAAGGCCCGCGCTGGGGCGAGAACGCCATCCTGAACGACGGAGGCCAAACACCGATCCGAAAATGAGGCCCACGCTGCAGCGGGAGCACGATCCGGAACGATTCGGGAGCAGAAATGAAGCCGGCGCCTCAACGAGAGCAGCATTTTGGGAAAAAATGACGCCGGCGCCTCAGCGAGAGTCGTTTCCCGGGATTTTCCGGGCATCCTGTGTAAAAAAACAGTACGCGGAGGGTGCGCGGCTATCACCCGGACGCCATCAGGGGAAGAGGGAGAGTATATTCATATTGAGTAATTGTAGAGAAGAAAAAAAGGAGACCAGGGAGAGACCAGAGACCAGAGAGAGAGAGAGATGAGAAACAAAAAAAATGAAGGGGAGGGAGAAACAAAAAGGGGAGACCAGAGACCTGAGACCAGAGAGAGAGAGAGAGAGAAACAAAAAAAAGGAGGGGAGGG